AGGGGACTTTCAAAGGTGAATCTGAAATTCTGCATCTGCATCACCTGCCTGGCCTCTGCTCTCAGATGTCTGCTGCTCCCCAGTGTGAACAGACCCAGTGAGTGGCTGCTGCAGGACAGAGCTGATTCCCAGATCCTCCTGTGACTGTTTTGCCCTTTCCCTCCCCAGCACTCCTTTCTGCCCACCATGCCTGAGGACATGATGGCTCAGGCGAGGACCTGGAAGGAGATGCGTGGTCTGCACTGGTATGGTGAGTGCTGCTGGCTGCCTGGGGAAGGAATTCCTTGGGTTTGGAGAGTGAAACTGTTCCAAATGTGTGGACAAACACACTCCTTAGCATGAGTTATCCATGGTAAATCCAGATTTGTAGACAGTTTGTGTGGGTGATGCACCAAAGGACATCCAGTGCTGTTTAGTCTTCAGCCTGCAGCTGTTCACAGAGCATGAGGGGGCACAAAGGCAACACAAACAGGGTGTGAGAGGAGAGCTCTGCCACCTTCCTGGCCAGCTTTGTCTCTGCTTCCCCCAGCTGCACCTGCCTGCAGCAGGGAAGGGAGGGTGGGAGCATTCCTGCCCTCAGCAGCACAATCTGTCAGGCTTTCACTCCTTGTTTCTCAAGGAGAAGCAGCACTGAAAAATTCCTTGGCTTCCTGCATGGGCCTGTCAGCCCTTTGGGCTTTAGGGCAGTCAGGGCTTTTGATTAGATTTCAGCATGTCTTTGCTCCAGGATGATGGTGCCAGTGAAAGGGAATAACAGGGGCTGTATAAATCTGTCTTAGAATGTTGTCCTGTTTGTTTCTCTCCTCGCAGAATGTCCCAATGGCCACTTCTCCACTGTGGGAGAGGTAAGAATTTGGGACTCGTGGGTATTTAAGCAGACAAAGCTTTCAACAATAAACTGTTTTATTTTGTTTACTGTTTTGGATGTTCTGATGCAGAGAGTTCCACTTCTAAACTCGATATTATTGATCATTTTGTCATTGTAATTTAAAATTTGGAATAGCCCTAGCATTTATACCACAGATTGGGAAACATCAGGCAGAGGCCCATTTTGTAGCAGGGTTTGAATTAACCCCTTAGAGGCTGGATTTTGTTCCATTCCCTCTGTCTGCTGGAGAGGCTGTTGCTCTGGAACTCAGTGTTCTCCTGTTGCTTTTCCCAGTGTGGGCTCCCCATGGAAACGAGCCGCTGTCCCGACTGCCACGTCCCCATTGGAGGCACCAACCACAAACCCGTGCAGGGCTTCCAGCAGTCCAGGTGGGCTCTGCTGCAGTGCCTTTGCAGGGATAAAGGAGGTGGGACCTGCCTGTGGTGCCCCCAAAGGCCACAGGTACCAAGCATTCATGCTGCTCTCTGGAAGGTGTAAGGAGGGGATGTGCAAGCAAGGGTAATCAGGCAGCAAAACCAAAGAAATTTGCTTTTCTGTGCACAAAACTGACTGGAAGCCTTCACTCCCCTGTGGCACTCTGAATTGGCAGCTTTTATGGCATTCAAAGACATTATGGGTCAAAAAGGCATTGCTGGGTATCAGAGATGTCTTGCGTGGTTTTTGTCTAGGTTAAAACAACAAACCAAATCATATATGCATTTTGCTACAGGATCCGTGAGGACAGGACTCAGCCTGGGCACATCCTCGGAGATGTGGAGCACAGGAGGACACTGGGGATGTCTGACAGGGGCGTGTCCCCCGTGGTCTTTGTGCTGCTCCGTTTGCTCACCCACCTGTCCATGCTGCTGGGAGCCTCCAGAGACCCTCAGGTATCTCCAGAAATGCTTCCAAGGGGTCACACAGAATGTAGGGGAACCTTTGTGTGCTGCTGGTCCTTTTCACCACACTGCCAAGTGGCCAGGGCAGTCTGGCAGGATGCAAGACCCAAATTCCCTCCCTCCTTGCCCAGGAGGGATTTTGGTTAATTCCTCATTTCCATGCAGGCACATCCACCCAGCCCAGCCTTGATGGGCACAGGTAGCAGGAATCCCACACGTGGGATGCCTGGCAGGGCAGAGCTCTGTGTGCTTTGTGCTTCCCTGGATGTTTTTGGCTGTGCTCAGCTCTTGCCTTTGCTGTCTTTAGTCCCTGGGAAGGATGATCAAGCCAGCAGTGGAGGATGTGATGAGCTTCCTGCAGCAGCACGTTCAGGAGGACCTGGCACAGCTGACCAGGATTTTGGGGAAGAGTGTGGATGACACCATCAACATCGTGCACCTGGTGCTCAGCAGCCTCCTGCAGGCCCCCCAGCAGCAGCCAGGCCAGTGTAAGCAAAGCCCCCTGCCCTGTCCTACCTGGGGCTGTGCTCAAAGGGCTGTGGCCATGCAGCCACAAACCCCTTCCAACAGCAGCAGTCAGCTGAGGAGGAAAATAGAGAGTTTGAAGCTGTTTCTTACTGTGGGGAGGGAAGAATTTTTGGCTGTTTGCTTCTTTCAGTCGGGTACATGAGGTTTGCAAGGTTTGGTGCAGTCAATAACTCTGAAAATGAATTATTGACAAACCAGTGTCATGACAGATGGACAGAGCTTGCAGAGCTTGCAGCTCCTGAGCAGGGTTGCTCTCCCAGCCCTCAGCCCGTGCTGTGTGCGGTCCCTGTTCTGTGCTGCCTCTCAGTCACTCCCAGAATCTCTGGGAGAAGAGGGATGGCACAGTGGGGCTCATGGTGGGCTCTGGAGTCACTGTGGCACAGAGGCATTAATGTGTAAATGGCCCACATTTGGAGGGTGGGACAGCACCAGCCAGTATTCCAAGCTTCACCCTGTCATTGATCATGGTCTGACCTTGGACAGCCTGTTCAATATTTCTGGCGTTATGAAGGAGCTGTGTAAATGTGCCCATCATTCACATGAAGCTCCTGGAACCCTGGCTCACTGTATGATGCTTGGGTGTCGCTCTCCAGCTGGACCAAGATACTCAGTTAACTTCTGGCACCTGTGAATCTGTGCTTTCTTTTCACTGAGATATTGCAGATGTAAGAGGTGAAATATTCCTGTTGCAGGGCTGGTGCAGTTTGATGAGTTTCTGTCCACCAAGGGGAAGAGAAACAAATGGGAAGAAATTGTTGCAGACACAATTATTGTTCCTGAATTGGAGGTGAGAAATCTGCTATACAGAGTCAGCAGCTGAGCAGTTCAAAATCCACTGGAAATCTGATGTGCTATAATATCTACACTTTTCACCAGGCTATTCCTAAAGCCAGCCCTTCCATGGCACAGCTGCAGGTTAAGGATTAGCCACCTTTTATCTACCTGGGGAAATGGGAGCCTGAGGCTGGCGTTGTTCTGGGATGGATCTGTATAGCTGGAAAAGCAGAAATGGCTTAGCTCAGCTGAAGGTATTTCACACTATCCAATAATTTATTACTCTTTTAATGCAGGATTTGGATAAAAAGCTTCTCAAGTTGAACCGCCGGATCCAAGAGGATGAGAGAATCTCCTCCAACCCCATAGTGAAGCTGGTGTATGGGGACCCAGCTGCCTTCCTGTCCCAGCTGCCAGGGGACAGCCACGTGCACCACTCCAGGATGTGGAGCTGCCGCAGGAGGGTTTCTGTGGAGAACCTGGGCCACGTTGTGCAGCAGAAGAACGCCAAGGACACCGTCCCTCTCCTCTGCAAGTTCCTGCAGAAGGTGGGGCTGGCACAGGGCTCAGAGCCTGGCATTGCCCAGGACTAAACCACGTTTGGGTTATCTCAGTACTTGCCATGAGCTTGAGAATGAACACGGAAGATATTGTTGTTTTTTAAACATCTAAGAAGTAATTGCATAAATATTCCCAACTGCTTTGTCCAAGTACAACTTTACCCACAGGCTCCCTTTCCTCTTCCAGGAAAACGAGCTGAGGCTGGTGAAATTCCTACCAGAGATTCTGGCTCTGCAGAGAGATTTGGTGAGGCAATTCCAGAACACAGCAGAGATCAAACACTGCTCCATCAGGGAATTCCTCAGGGAGCCCCACTCAGGTGAGGAGATGCTGCCAAAATTGTAATTAATGAAAAATAAAGTGCTGGATTGTCCAGTTGAAAGTGAAGGGGAAAACTCACTTTTTCCTTTTAACTCTCACCCAAATGAACTGAGACTTGGATAGGGCTGGAAAAGTTACCAGATGACTTTAAAGGGAATTAAGTACAGGAGATTTTTTATGAGGGGTGGGAGCTCTGTGCAGTGCAGCAGCGGTTCTGTGGGCATTTTAAATTCAGCCCTAGAGCAGGGCTTCCCTAAGAGTGGAATTAACATTCTTCCCTTCCTTTCATGAAGTTTGTGGCAACTCCTTCAATTGTATTTAAGTACAATTACTGATGCTTTTAAGTACTTATGGAAAAGTACATAAAGGTCATGCAGGAGCAGACAATAATGGAAAAATAATAAACTGAGCCAATGACTCCATTTGATACCTTTCTAAAGGTGTTTGGTGTCTGTTTGAACAGTTGCCTGGAGTTCAGTGGTGTGCTCTGAAGATCCCTGTATTGGAGAGTTTCACCAGGAAAAGGCCTTTAATGGATTTATCTTTTTGTTGTTTCTCAGATGTGATGAGGGACCTGTTGGAGAGGAGAGTGAATGTGTTTCTGTCTGTCTGGAACAAGCTGAGAAGCTCCCTGGACACCAATGGTGAGCAGCTTCTTTCCCAGCCCTGCTCCTCGTGCTGAGTTCAGGTTCCTCCCATCACTGATGCTGAGGCATAGCCTCAAAACTGGGCTTGGCCATTGAACTTTAAGAATGTAGGTACAAGGGGAGGGATTTGTTTTCCTGATGTAGTATTCTTTCCTGAATTTGTTTCCCTTCTCACCTGAACTTGTTCCCTTTCATGCTTGTCCCTAACACTGAGCGCGCAGCTTTTCTCAGCTCGGTACCTCCTGCCCTGGCTAGCCTGGGTGGCTCTGGGCCCCCTCAAACCCTGCTGTCTGTATTCCAGGGGAAATCAAGCTGCCCAAAGGCTACTGTGATGCTGAGCTGAGCCTGGACAGCAGGCTGGAGGTGCTGCTGCCACGGCGCCAGGGGCTGGGGCTGTGCTCCACGGCGCTGGCCAGTTACCTGATCGGGCTGCACAACGACCTGGTGCACTCTGTGCACAGGCACACCAAGGAGGATGACAGGTGTGCTGCTCCCTGGGCTCTGCTGCATCCCTGCTCCCTCTCAGGCAGCTTTCCCCACTCCCCAGAGGCCTCTCCCTCTGAGCATGGCCCCTCTGCTCCCTGCAGGTACCTCATCAGCCCCTCGGAGGTGGCCGACCTGCACCTGATCAGCTACGAGGTGGAGAGGGACCTGATCCCTCTGATCCTGTCCAACTGCCAGTACAGCATGGAGAAGGGAGGGGAGACCTTGCAGGACTTTGATCTGGAGAGGATCCAGCAGCAAGTGATCAGCAAGTTCCTGCAGGGGAAGCCGCTGATCACGCTGACGGTAGGAGGGGCAGGGCTGTGCAGCCAGGAGGGCTCTGGGAGCACCATTCCAGGGTTCACATCCCTGCCTTTCTGTCCTGACAGGGAATCCCCACCCTGGTGCACAGACACGACCGCAACTACGAGCAGCTGTTCAGTGATGTCAGGAACAAGCTGGAGCAGGTGGGTTTCTGCACTGCAGGAAGCAGGGCAAGCATGAAATCCCTGCTTTTCCAAGGGTTTTCTGTGCCCTGCCTTGTCCATCCAAAGCCTTGCCTGCTGACTTCTCAGCATGCCTTGGGTACTGCAGTCTGGCCTTGTGCTGCCAGTCAGGATTTGCAAAGAGAAGGGAAATGCTGAAACAGTTCAGCATTTCAGTTTCCTGAATCTGGGGCTCTCTTGTCTTCCTTGACTTGAGCAATTGGAACAGAAAAAGGAATGGCTCTAAAACAATATTAACCGTGACTTTGTGGTTTTCAGAGTGCCCTGCCCAGTTCTGTGATGAACATGATCAGTGGGGAGCTGCAGTCCTACAGTGATGTGTGTGATGCCCTGTCCCTCACTGAGATCACCCTGGGCTTCCTGGCCATGGCTGGTGAGAACGCTGACATGCTGCTGACCGAGTACATTGAGCAGGTTCTGCAGATGGGGGATCAGACAAACCCTCACGTGCTGCAGGTGAGTCCTCAGGGCAAAGCTCAGACCTTTGTGGGGTAAAATCTGGTTTATGCTAAATTGAGCCTGTGTGACAGAGCCCTCTCACTTTGCCTGTCGTGTTATCAAAAACTGGATTATGGAGGGCAGCTGGGGAAGGGTGAGAGGGCTGGATGAGCTCTGTGCTGAGCTCTCCTGGGCAGGGCAGGCTGGGGACAGGCTCCAAGGACACCCCTCACATCCACAGCTGTCCTTCTCTTCCAGGCCCTGAGACGGTGCCAGCTCAGGCACAGCATGGCCCTGTGGCAGCTCCTGTGTGCCCACAAATCCGAGCAGCTGCTGCACCTCGGCAGGGTATGGCACCCCCAGCCCCTCTGTGTGAGCCCCTCTGCCCTGCCCTGCCTGCAGCTGCTCAAATGTGTCCTTGGGTTTTTTCCTCCCCTCGCTGCATTTTTAGGATCCTTTTGCAGATGTCAGTCCAGACTACAAAGAAGAGCTCACCCCAGAGCTTGCCAAGCTCCTGCACACCTTCCTGGTGCACTGCAGGCTGGAAACCTTCCTGCAGGAGCTCCATGAAATGATCACCCTGAAGCTGAGACGTGCCCAAGCTGTGCAGGAATTCAAACCCACATGGAGGTAGGAGTTGCACACCCAAAGCCACCACAGTTGTTCTCAAGTGAAGCTTCTCTGCCTCTGAGCATGCACACAGTGGGAACACTCCCTTGGCACATGCATGGCCTGGGGGACACGGCCCAGGCAGCAGCATCAGGAATATCCACAGCCATTTCTGGCAGGTGTCACTTCCATCTCACACAGGCTCTCCTGGGGACACTGCTGGCCAGGGCACAAACACCAGCACTTCTGCAGGCACTTGGATAAAATAATAACAGAATCACAAACTCATTAAGGCTGGAAAACATCTCGATGGTGCTCAAGGCCAGCTTCCAGGGATAGGCACAGCTCAGCCCCAGAGCTCAGCTCTGTCCTGCAGCCTGCCCTCACGGGGCTCTGTGCCTCCACCTGGCTGTTTAACCCTTCTCACTACACACACACACCTGTTCACTTGTGGGTATTGAGTATTTTGGGTGGGTGCACTGCACTCATACTGTGGAACTTGCGGGATTTTTCTTTTAGCTGTTAATGCCATTCTGCTCTGTCTTCCAGCCTGAAGGAATCACTCTTGCCTTACCTTGATGACAAAGACTCTGACTTAGCTCTGGAGCTGGAAGACACATTCCCAGATGAGATTCTCCTGTCTCATGCTGCTGGTACCTGGAAAGCAGCTGCTGCCTTCAAGAGGGAGCACAGGGACAGTTAGGACAGAGCCCTGCCAGGGACTGCCACAACACCGTGTCAGGGCTTCTGCCACTCTGGGCATTTGTGTGGGGCTTGTTGGTTGTTCTTTGGGTTTGGGGTTGTTGTTTTTACACCTGATGCGAAGAGTGGCCGTGGAGGAGGGTGAAATTGACCCAGCAGCTCGGTGTGAACCCTGGATCGCCACAGCTCCAGAGCCACTGGAGGAACATGAAGGATTTTTTTTACAAGCCATGGTGCCGTCGTGCCGGGGCAGGGTTGGCGTTTTCCTGCCTGCCTTTCTGCGCTGGCTGCAGAAGCGGCTCCTG